GCAAACTTCTGCAAATAGCTGCCTCTAACCATGTTAGTCCCACTGGTTTATGATAAAATGCTTTGCTGGTTCAGTCCTGTTCCCTGACTTGATCACTGATGATCTGGGAACTGTAAGCAACAAAAGATTTTTTACGCTTTCATTTTATACATCACAAATATAATGAATGCTTCCAAACTGACAAATGCTATTGAGAGGATTTTTAATTGTCTGTAAGCTTACAGTTGATGGTAGTGATGTATTTATTTCAGTCCCTTTGATTAGAGGAAACTAGCTGATCTTTGAGGAGGATTCTGGGTACTTCTGGAGGTAGCGCTCTTCTCCTTTTTTTCTCACATTTCCTCAGTTGGGCAGACTTTACTAAGGCATGATCTGCCCAGAGACAGTTTTATATTCCAGGGTAACTTTCTATATCCACATGATCCACGAAATTGCCTTTTTCTAATGGTAGAAATTTATTATTTAACCTACTTTCTACTATGTCTCTGTCTACTTTAGCAAGTAACTCAGTGAAATAGGAAAGGATCAATAGTTTGAAAGCAGTTGCGTGTTCAGGCTTCTCGTATCTCCAGTATATTTGATCTGGGGAGTTTATTTTGTACGGGATATAACTTCAGCGCTGCAAACCTCTACTACACTTGTAGATTGAAACTTTCTGAAAGGAAGATAGTCTGCATGCTTTTCTCCGGGTCCCTCTGGAAGGGGGGTGCCCAAATTGCCGTTACTCATGTACAAAAACTTTCCTAGGAAAGCCCTTTCACTGTGCCTCTTTTTGGCTCTCTGTAGAGCATCAGATGACTTCAGGTGTTTGAGAGCTCTCCCCCGCTTGAAAGCCTCCCGCTGACATGTGTTAGGTTCATGCTGCAGGTCTTTGGGATGGCATGGTCCGCCTGGGGGGGTCACAACCCTTAGGGGTTGGAGGGCATTTGGGGGGGGAACAGATTAGGTTCCTCCGAGAGGAATTATCTCCTGCACACCAAAATTGCTTTCGGAAATGAACAACAGCATGTGGTAAATAAGAACAACCACAGGACTGGCTCCAAAACTGCAATACTGTTCTGAATCATCTTGCTATGTAGAGCATAGCCTGTGTTGACAGGATAATAGCTATGCAAGGGAACAGGAATGTCTGGCTTTTAGATAACTTTGAAATGATTCAGAATCATTAAAATACATACATTTTTAGCCTGTGAAAACATACATCCTTCTACTGTCTTAGCACCAGTGGGTGTAACTTGTCATACCTAATGATTCAAATCAGTTTCGTCTGTTTAGGCAGACTGTGTAGAACTGATGGAACTCTGCACATATACTTAGATTTTTATACGTAGACCAGGCTCTTAGACTTAAGATGTTAGCAAAAGAATAATGCCGTATTTGTCTGTATAGTGCTTAGCAGAATTGGGGAGGCGAACCTACTGGTAAATAACGCTCAAGATTTAAGATGCATAAATTTTTTCTGTTGTTAAAATTACTTGTTAGATAGCAGGGGAGGGGGGGATGACCCAACCTAGATCTAGATACAGAATATGTTCTTAATGAAAAACACTGTTATATAGATTATTGGGGTTAGGCCTGAATTCTTACAGGTTTGCCACGCTGCTATTGACTTCAGTTGGAAGAGGGTGTTTGAATATCTGTGAGGATGTAAGCTGCAGTCTTTTAAGGGGAGAATCCTGGGAAATGCAGTCCAGAGGCGGGGCAGATGGGTGCTATGACACTGGTGTGCTGGATCTTTATATAATATAAAGAAAATTGATGGTTTCAGGTAAAAAAAGAATCTAAGGCAAAGAAATACACAAAATGGTTGCCCAAACATAGCGCAACACCGTTTTTCAAACTTAAATGAAAGCAGAAGAAACCTCTCTTTTTAGTCTTTTTGTCAGCAGTATCAAATGAACTGAACTTGGAAAGCGATTTTATGTTTACCTTGGTAAAACTGAAAATGCATTATTGGCTGGAGACATGTAAGTTTCAACAACAAGAAGAAGTTGCCTTCACTTCCAAATGATTTAATGGCTTGGAAATCATTGGAAACGTGTAAGACCAAGGTTTACTGGTCTTCACTAGCCTTTAAAGGACAGGGCAGAACAAGGATTAAATTGAGTTTACTATTTTTAACTGACATAAGAGTACTGGCTGTCCTAAGGGATGATCTAAGGAACATCTAAGGGATGTTCTATTACATGAGTTTTGTCCACATTCCATCCTGATTCTAGGAGCTTCCCTATAAAAAATTAACCAAAACTATTATGATCTGACTTTAGCACACCAACACTTTCCAAAGGGGGAAAAAAACAATTGTAAAATTCCTCAACATTTTTTCCTGGTAGAGAAGCCTAGGCTGTCCAGTCCAACTATTTGTTATATTTATGTTTCACCCTGGAGGGTTAAAAAAGTACACGAGCTTGCAAGCCACTGGAAGACGAAGATCAACAGGGAAATATATAAACTTACATTTCAGAAATAATCTCCTTAACAGGATGGTCAACTCTACCTTCCTTAAACAGTGGCTAAAGTACCAACATGCAGTGTCTAAGTGAATAGCTTTTACCTAGGACTTTTCAAGCAGCTGCTTGTCATCGCTTTATCTGCATCTGAAATAAAACAGCACTAATCTTATACAATGCATTGCCAGTATAATCAACAGGTGGTAGCACGTTACTTGCTAAGGGTCCAGGGAGAACATGACTTCCTGTCTCCTTCTCCTACTCCTTTTTTCAACATTATTTCAGTTGCTTTAAGCTATAGTGAATGTAGTCCTCTAATTGCCCTTTCCACGTCAAGTAGGCTGGGATGCTTTTGTAATAAAACAGAGACACACATGAGCTCTGGGATGGATGACTGCTGCTGAACAAAAAGGGGGGAAACCCTTTATGGCTGTACACTCATGTAATAACCACTCAACTCAGTGAAGATGTTGTGTATTAAAACAATGGGCAGCTCTGACCCCAAAACTCAAGGCTGATGCTGTTAACACAGTCAAACTGATGTGTCTTCCTCACTAATTATTATTTTATAAGCGGGCTTGCAATGTGAAACGGTGTTTTGTGGAAAGATTTGTATCTGTCGTTAAAGGAGAGATTGACCCTACTTATCTTCCTGTCTCTACGTTTTTGCTGTTTGTTACCAAATTTCCATTTGACAATTTTTTTAATTGCTTTTGAGAAAGAATCATGAGAAGTATTATTTCTTTTATTAGAATCAAATGTTTTCACAGTGGTAAAGCACAAAACGACTGGATTTTGGGTTATCTCTGCCTTGTAGAGATATCTCCTTTAAACCAGAGGAAGAATGGGCTGTATGAGCTACAAAGTCAGCCTTTATCATACTGATAAACAGAGAAGACAGATGTCAAAGAACAGATGACTAAGGCACTGTCCCTGCTAGTTCATATTGCTTTGGTTGCGTAAGTCATTGAAATTTGGACTGCTTTGGGATGAAAGTGATACAATTCGTATTTCCAGTGGTAAAGTCATTCATTTCAGTTGAACCATACGATGAATACTGACATGTTCCTGGTAGTTCTGATAGAAGAAAGAAAGTAGTCATTGCTTCACTCCATTCATTATTTAACGTGGTCTTCATTTGTATTTGTTACAGCCGATTAAGATTAGAGGCAGAACAGAAGTTACTGCATATGTACTACATTCAGGGCTAACAAGTTAAGTACAGAAAAATAGCTTTCAAATCTTTCTGAAGTTATATATTTTTAGTTTAAATTTATAATCCATCATTTAAAATCTAGTAAAGCATGTAAAATTGCTCTTAAATCACCTTCCAAGCACTTTTTTAGGTTACCAAAAGTTGGTGTTAGCAGAAAATGAAGTATCAAAAGCAATCTGAATTTCTCTTTGAACAAATACTTTGCATTTCTATAGCACTTCCATCATAAGAGGTTAAAAAACTTCACAAACATTACATTTTGGCAAGCTTAAGGGAGGGAAATAATATTAGTAAATGTCTTGTTCAGGGCCACATGGGAAATTGAATAAAGAACAACATAAAACCAGATGATCTGCCAGTTCTTTCACATACACACTTTATTAAACATTTGTCAAACATGCAGCGGGCCCTAACCAGAGTCTCTGGATTCTGTAATAGAATAAATGACAAAACCATGCTTCAATGCTTATCTCTATTACTTTACGGTTTCTTTCACAGTTAAGTTCTTGAGGGAATTACTAGCTGAGGAGCGTACCTTAATTCAGGTTTGCAGCAGTATGGAACCTTCCACACATTTCATCAATTCTAGAAGCCTTGGATTAATTTGGTCTCAGGACACAGAGGACCCTACACATTAATAGTAGCTTGTTAAAAACCTACTACAGACCGCACTGGTGTGTGACATCTTTGCAAAGGATATTATTTTTCTTATATCTACCGCAGCATTATTATAAAGATAGAAAGTTCATAATGTAAGTTCAAAACTATATCATTCTTAGATTTGCAGTAGACTGTAAATATGTATTTTTAAGGCTCTATGTGAAAAATTGTATGTTACATTGTATCTGGAGAGCTGTTTAGAGTTCACTGTTAAACCACATTAATATTTCTCTTCAAATAAATACTATTTGAGTATCATTCACTTGTTAAATGCACCAGAGATTTAACAACATTTGGCATATAGATGAAAACAGCAAACTCTCTGTGGCCAACAAGCTGGTTTTCCAGAGATATGCTTTTAATAGTGCACAATTTTTGCATCACTAAATACTTTACTTATTCAAATACAACACTTCTGGTTTTATTAATGCAGCACTTTAGGCCTGTTTTTTCCAGGACAAACAGCTGCACATCTAACTTTAAACGCTGCCAAGGAGCTGAAGATTTCTTCACTTTAGAAGCTGGATGATTATGTGAGAAACGTGAAGACTTCCTTGGAAAAACAAAACTACAGAGTAAGGAAGGCATGTTTAGCTAGAAAAGGTGGCTATCATCATGTGCACTCAAAAGTTACGCAGAAATGCTCCTTACCTTCTTTCAAGACTTCTGTTCAGTCCAGATTCAGTAGACCTGGTGCAGAAAAAGTAATTCAAAAGCAGGATGAGCCTAAGTCCTAATGGCAAATAATTGCAGATTCCCAATATTTTCAACAGCTGAAGTATCTGATCAGAAGGAATATTTGTGTATTCTGCTGCTCTGCCTTGATAAATTATTCACGCTCTTTCAGTCACAAAGAGTAAAGTGCCACCACAGCAAATCATCTTGTCATGAGGCAGATCAAGAATGGAGAAATCAAGAAGCTGACAAACAGGATGGAGCGCAGCCCACTGTTCTCATGCCAAGACGGTGTCAAAAGATTTATTCTCTTGTTCTTATGACTTCAGAGATCCACCCAGTGTCATAAATTGGTACTGAAGTTGTAGAGTGCCCAAAACACTCTCAGGTACCATAGTTTTTATCTCAGCAAAGACTGTATTTTTGACTGACTATGCAAAAAATTAGATGCATTCTTAATCTGTGAAAAGAGGTTGTATTTATTCTCTAGCATCATCATAACAAAAATAAATGAAACTTGGTGTTCTGCACAGATCTGAGCTACTTCAGTTTTGCGAAGTCTAGGACATCACCATAACAACAGGATTCTAGGAGGTTATCTTATAGTGCCAAGTCTTGCCACGTTAGATATTTTTTCTTTATTATCCAATAAACATTGGATAATAGGAACGCAGAAAGGAAAAAGACTTGAATTCAAGCAAAATCCTCTGAGGAGAAATCCTAAGACATAAATAAAAGGTGAATACTTTTAACATCCTTGATTATTTCGGTAGATTTTTTAAAATATATTTTGCACTTTTCTGTTTGAGACTTCAGCCCAACAGTCTTGAAACTGCTTTTACATTAACTATTTGAGCCTCCCACCTGTGAGTCTGATCGACTATGCGAACTCTTATGTGTTTAATTTTTCTTATGTCAGCTACTGATTTAGTTGTAAAGCCTAGGCAAGCTAAAAATCATTCCAGTCTTTCTGAGCAAAGTATCTGCAGATACTGCCTAGAAATTCAAACCCTAAAGCCTTTGACAAAAGATCTTTAGATTTCTCCCTTCCAGTTAAGGAACCCCAGAACTCTTCCAGAGGCAATACTATCACACAGAAAAGCTTTTTTTCCCCCCCCCCTCCTGAAAACTGATCTTAGAGTTCCACTAGATAACATTCAGATCCGAGCTCCTAAAGATAACTAGTAACGAAAAGTTCTCTAACATATGGGACACTACTAGAAGCTGGTTGGTTGAAGGTACTAAAACTTCGGCAGAAATGGCAAATTTCATTATTAACATAGAGTCCTCAATACTTAAGATCACAGCTAATCACTTGAGTGCCAGGACAAACGAAAGTAAGAGGCATACAAGTCCCTTAGTTCTAGAAAGGTTTAGCGTAGGGTCATATACAAGTTGTTATAGTTCAACCTGCTATAAGTTTCAGTTGAGAAAACAGACAATATGAATAAGCATTAACTAGTAATACATGCATAATCTGTGTGTATCGTTTATGTAGTCAATTTAATGCAAAATGAATTAATTTATTTGGTTTGATTCAGTTTTATTTCTATTGGTATCAGGCAATTGTAATTAACGCTTACAAAGCGGTGAAAGAACAAAAATAGTCCATAATTAGCCTCAGTTAGATGTTATAGTACTGAAAGACAGCATCTTTCATTTTCCAAAATGTGGCCCATTCCTTACAACTGAGATTATGTTTCTGAAAAACAAGATTCTATTTTACTTGTAACTGTTTAATTTACGTGGTAAACCCACTACTAATTTTTGTCTCAAGCACTGAGAAACAGATTTTTTTAAAACATATTTTCTTGACCAGAAATGAGGCATAGATCACTTAAAGCAAAGATGTCATTGGAGACCACTAATTCCACTATTAATTTTTGGTTTTGGATAAGCAGCTTGGGACACAGATCAAATCCTGGCCTTTTCCATCCCTCAGTACTTAAAAGGTAGGTGTCTGGCTCTCAGTATGGAGTCCTGAACTCTGCTGTTGGGTACTGGGGCTTTCCGTTGGTTATGCTGGAAGAGGGAGTCCTGGGTTCCAGTCTGTGCTCCAAAGCCTATTTCTATACTTTGCTTTAGAGGTTAGTCAGATAATATAGCTTACACCTGCTCCTATTTTGTTAAGCAAGGATCTTTCAATTGCAAAGAGTTTAGAGTCTAACAATAAAGAAACAAATATCTCATCAGCGAGGAAGTGGGAGAAGGAAGCAGTAATCTTCATTTACCTGCGTCTTCACACTGACCAAGGGGATATCACTTTTTGTATGCTTCTTTCCAATGCCAGGACAAAACTAAGTCTATCATAGCTAGGTAACTTCAGACATGGACTGTATTTGAAGTTGGGCAACTGGCTCAAAATTTAACCATGTCAAGGCATTTTGCTTATGTACATGAGAATATGATACTTTCTTATGTCAGAGACATTTAAAATTTTAACAGAAAACTCAAGATTATGATTGCTGCACTAGCTGTCGTAATTCAGATTTGTAAAATATGTAAATGAGTCTTAGTTGCACTAGCTACACTACGTATGTAAACATCACCAGTGATCTTTGCTATTTAGTCTCATGAAGAGCTCATGGAGATATCTTTCAATTCAGTCAATCGTAGCTGCAGATATACTTTTTTGTCAGTAACTCAAGTAACATTTTTCACAAACAGATACACTATTTCTGCGATACTTTTTTGCCCATGTCTAGAGGTGCAGACAATACTTAGGGAACACGTGATCAAAAACAAATCAGAGTTTACATTCCAGTTCAAAAGATATACATTTTCTTAATCCATTGCACTTTGCTGAAAAGACATTCGGCGTTTAACGCAAAAACCTCTGCTCCAGCAGCAATCTGAGATGTCTTTTAAAGGCATAAAGTCAAATACAGCCAAGATGAAATTTCTTTACTTTGGCCTTTTAGTTTTAAAGTTACAAAGTGACTTATGGTATCCGCAATGAAACCTCATCTATTACCTATGGGAGAAATATGGAAGTTTATTTTTTCTGTTGAGTAGCAGCCCTTTCCCAACTTTTCAAACGTTCACGGACTTTACAAACGCGTCGGTACCAAACACATCAGATCAACGCACTCTGTTTACACAAGCCATTTTACACACTTTTCAGGGAAGAATTTAACTCTGTCAATTCCCTTATTTATCAGCACTAATGAATTCAGTTGATGAATCTTCTTCTTCCTCAGAGTTCAAACATAACGACATTGCTTGCCTGATAACACTGGACTAGAGGAAAAAGCCGGCAGTATCAAATGACTGAAATAAAACATCCGGATGATAGCACAAGACCCCCAAAACACTTAAAAGATTCTCAGAAACTGTACTTTTGTAAATGGTTAAGTACTTCTGGGCTAGAAATCCGTAATATAGATGACATAGCATCACCTAACTTCAGGGCACTTGTTGGATGAACTCTGGGCAACCATACAGAACCAGTGAATTGAATATAAAGGAACACCTAGATCAGGTTAACTTCACAGTTAACATAGTACTGCTGCTTCTCTCCAACACCTAAGAGTTTTATAAGCTTTCCTTTTCACTTTGAAAGATGATGACATTCACATCCTACCAGTGTGCAAAGACGCTTAGAAATTAACATAACTGTACAAACAAAACTGAAATTATATATATGCAAAGCTCTGAATGCCCAAGTAAATAAGCATCTATTGGAAGGGAAGTTTCTGCAGTTTAGGTGTAGTGATCTTGAGGCTTGCTTATAACTACAGCTGATCAGATTTCAGACACAGGCCTTGGGACAGCAGCCTAAACAAAAACATCTAGTACTGTTTTCGACACCCTGCCCGACCTCCAGCTTCTGCTTCAGGAAATACTCAGAAAGTTCTGTCTTATCTGCCAGCCCTTCGTGGATGTCCTTAGTAATGTGAGGTGTTTAGTTGGCATGAGCCACCTGTTAAGCATAATTTCTAGAGGCAACATCCATCTAAACAGAAGCGCTGACACATGACAGGACACTACCGTGACATCATGGATGATTATCAAAATAAAAGCAAACATTTCATTTGCTTCATTCTTCCATGTACATTTTAATAGAATTGGCACGTTCTGCTTGAAATAGAAGAAATGCAGAAGAATTTAGTATACGACGTACACGTTCCATTAACTTACCCCGAGTTTTATATGAAGTCAAAAGTCACTGGAACAGCATCTATTCTAAATCATCTTGTTTGCTCAGTTAGGCCAGAAGAAGAAGATGCAAAGTGTTTTGAGCAAATAAATGCTTGTTTGGCATAAAATGTTTGCACTTTGCAAAGTATATCCATTCTTTTCTTGTTTGTTCTAAAGGACACCCGTGAGAAAAAGAAGGAAAACAAAAACTTGAAATAACATAGCATATGATACTGAATTTTATTTTTGGTGCAAGTGCTTCCATAAACAGGAAGAAGCATGATGGTTCTGTGACAAGAGATATGAACAAAACAACCTGTGTTGAGAATTCTAACTAGAGTGAAATAAAGTGAAAGAAGCACGTTATTGCTGAATAAATCCTTCACCATTTACTCTACAAAAAAGCACAAAACGGCAGCAGCCTTCTCCAAGTTTCAGGAATTTGGCAAGCCTGTGAAGACATTTAGCACACACGCTCATTGTGAAGAAATGCTCAGAAACAGAGCTAGAACTTCTAAAAGTCAAGACATGTGACTTTTCCATGAGACACCAGTTTGAATTACAAAAGCTGAAGGCCTTATTTAAAACAAGATTTCTCCTTCTGCCAAAGGATGCCATCACTGCTCTCCTGACAACACCCTGGCAGGAGGTGGGACTCCTGATATGCCGAGAGAGATGGCATCAGGGTGCTCAAACTTAAGAGAAATCCAATAAAAATAAATGATACCGTTCTAAGGGAGTTTTTCCTCCTAGCTTTACCCTCTCAGATGCTCACTTTCCATTCCCATGCCATTAGGCTGATCTGAGCTTCAGCACAGTAACAGGCCAGAAACCTTCCTCTACAACAGCAGCATTTCAGCCACTGGGAGGGAGCAAGCAATTTAACGACACCTGCCTAACTGCTGGGGACAGATACGACACCACCTGCTTTTCCTTCCTTAGAAACCTGTGAGCAATTTGGGGGGCAGCAGGACACGCTCCCCACTGCAGGAG